TATATATATATATATTTATATATACGCAACCTCTCCCACTGGATGCCTATATCATCGGTCTCGATTATTTTGACCCAGATAAAATTTGAATTGCCATAACTGGACAGCCGATATGTTTTTTTATTTACATTCTGATAGAGCATTTTAAGACGAATACAGTGATCTATAATTGAAGATCATTCAAAGTCAATAATGGAAAATAATTGAATGTAATAAAAAATTAATTATTTTAAGACACTCTTCGAATAATTTCGTGTCTTCTCTGCTTGTTGGTATATCGCTAATTATTCAAGTGTATCACGATGTATAAATGAACATTAAAGGTTTATTTAAACAAGGTCAGCTGTAAATTGAAAATAAATGGTTTGAAGGTATTTCTCGAATATTTCACTAATTTATTTATTTGCGTACTTACCGTTACAACAAGTGTTTAAAATGACCCTGAGCGGCTAAAATGTGTACCGCTCATCGTTCAAGTGCATCACAGTATGTAAATAAACATTAAATCGCACATAACATTATCCATACTTATTATTTGCATTTATCGATCGAAGTGCGTGTCTTGCGAAATGCGTTATACGAAAGCGAAAAAAGTCGATATGATTTTCATAGTGAATGTCGCCAAATTATGAGAGAAGCACTATATTTGTATATTAAAAGATTTCCCAATCATGTCCATCCCTCACTCTCTGTTTTTTCAAACATAAAAACTTTTCAAGAAACAAGAAATACAGATAATAAAAAACGTGAATGAATCAAGAAAGCAACTGATGAAATTTTCAATGAACATTTTATGCTATAGCATTAAATCTACATTGGTACAAGACAGCTTGAATGTGAAAGTGATATTAGTCGAAGTGTTCTGCGAATATTCCATTCCAACAAATTTCATCTCTTTCATATCTCACTTCATCAAGAGTGACAATGATTTTCAAAATTGTGTACAATTCTGTGAATGGGCATTACGAAAACTACAAGAAGATGATATGTTTGTCACTAAAATTTTATTTACTGACAAAGCTACATTTACGAAGAACAAGTAAATCTTCGCAACATGCACTATTGATCAATAGAAGACACACTGGCTGAGAGAAGTGGACAGGTATCCATAAATGTCTGAGCCGAAATTCTTAATGATAAAATAAGTGATTCTCATTTTATCGATGGAATTAAGTAGTTGCAAGTATGTAGATTTTAATAGAAATATTGCCACTATTATAAGATCTTCCACTGAACGTCCGACAATCAATGTGATACCAGCAAGATAGATGTCCTGTTCATTTTGCACAAATTATTATTGAATTGCTAAACAGAAAATTTGGAGATTGTTAGATTAGTCTGGATTGGATTAGAAAATAACAGACGAGCCGCATATTCCGTACATTTCAGATTTAACATCTATTTTTATTTGTATTTGTGTATTTTTGTATATGTGTATTTTTATTTGTGGAGAAAACAACAAGTGAACACGAATATCTACATTTCAAGTGCTCTAATAAATCTAGGGCTTGGTCAAAATTTCGCTACAAAAGTCTAGCTTTGAAGCATTTGATGGACCAATTAGAAGAAAGAATTTTACAAACCAATTAAAAAACGCTTCAAAGTGTTTGTAGCATCGCATTGTCCTCTAATGGCTCTTGCACACCAGCGCGATGCGCCACACGCGATACGTGACACGCGACATCCAGGTTGTCTTCACTCAAGTGTATCTATGTATCATTTTATTCTTGTTGTTCACCGAATGTTAAACGAAGATAAATAATACACTCGGATAAATTTTTGAACACAATCCAATAAGCATATATATAATTTTTCCAATAGAAATTGTTTTGTTACATATATCAAGATTATAGCATAGAGTATCATGAAACTTTATCCCTAGGATAAAAAGTGAAAAATGAACTTTTTTATTATTAAAATTAATGGAGAAATTTTTCACTTTTCGCTTTCTATCCTAGGGATAAAGTTTCATGATTGATACCAAAATCACATTTTTCAATTAATTCTGCTTTTTTGTGTAGCCATGCGCAACTCGACTCATTCGCTTGTCGCGTACGAGAAATATTCAACTTTGCCCAATTTTTGTTGTAATGTTGCGAAAATTATATACTTATTGGACTATGTTCGGAAATTTATCCGAGTACACTTATGTATTATTTATTCTCGTTTAACATTTGGTGAATAACAAGGATAAAATGATAAATGCACTCGAATGATGCCAACCTAGATGTCGCGTTGCGCATCGCGCTGGTGAGCAAAAGCCATAAGATGCGTTCCGTTTCATGCATCATACGCATGATATATATCCTTCTTGTTGAATATTAAAGAAAGATAAAATGACATACATCATGCGCATTACGCGTAAAACGGAACACACCCCTAGATTTTAGGTGGAAATATATTTCCACTAATTCCATGGATCTTGATTCCAAATGAATCAATGGCCTAGTTTCCACCGAGAGTTTAAATCGGATCAGACTGTAAGAACCAATCAACTATAATCGAGAATTCCCCTGTCGTTCTACTGTAATAGAGGAACACTTGACTGTAATTGATTGGCTCTTACATTCTGATTCGATTTAAATCTTCGATTGAAACTAGGTAATAGGTGCATCTAGAAGCACGATTGCTCACTGAGTGATTAGTGAGTTCTTGCATCTGATTGGCATATTCCATTAGATCTAAAAATATAGACCAAACAAGTATAAGAGTTTATTAAGCGCTTGGTAGTCCTGCTTCTGGATACTCATGTCAACAATGGTTATGTTGCGTTCGAATGTACACAAGTACGAGTGTGAAACATATTTCTAATCGAAAATGAGTCTTGTAGCATACGACAGCAGTGACGAGAGCTCAGAAAACGAAGAGAACGAGGCTGCAGAATCAAATACTGTGAATGATACGAATAACGATACAACCGAAGTAGTAACCATACAAATAAGTTCGAAATTATCCTTACCTGCTCCGAAAGTAGTTCACATAGTTTCACATAATACAAACATTGAAGAAGAGAATGATGAAGCGGAGCATAACTTACAACAATTTCTCGATACTTTACCAAAGCCCAGAGATTCCATTTTTATGGGAAATGTTGAGGAGGTCGAAGATGATATTCTGTTAAAAAAAGAAACAGAAAATCAAATCTCGAAACCAGCAAAAAAGCAGATAGTGCGAATATCGGTGCCTTCCTTATTGGAGGTATGTATATATATATATATATATATATA